TTCCCCGATTGCACAACAACTTCAAAATTACCGAACACATAACTGTCGCGTCCATGTTTACTTCCACAAACACAGGGAGCTGCGTGCCACGTCACGTTCTGAGACACGTTTTCTTCTGCGCATGCGTGTCACATCAGCGCTGTGGAGCGTTCACACAGGGGTCTGATGCAGGTCGCATTTAAAATGTAATGTGAACGTTCACACAAAAAGATCGGATTTTTTCAAAAAATCGGAACTGAGCATTAAGACCTGCAGTGTGAACTAGCCAGAGACCTCTCAGGAAGCAGTTGGAAGAGAGGAGCCAAAAGTAGTTGTTGACAGCCAGCTGAGAGTTTTTATCGAAGCGACACAGTTCAGTCAGAACAAGAAGCCCCCTCTGCTCAGGGTCTTACAGCTTGTTACTTTTTATGCATGTCTTCTGACAAGTGTTTTATAGGGGTGTATGTGGTGGTGTCATGCCACTTGTACATACACATTTATTTAGTGGTGGGCAGCGCTAATTAAAATTTTAGTTGCTCAATTTCTAAAGCACTAGTCAATTTATTTAGGCCCGCAAGTTCAAAAGCACATATGATCAATAAAACTTAGCGGAAGTTAAGTTAAAGCACAACATAATCTCTGTTTACCAGAAAGCAGCACTTTACTATCATCTAGTGGTAAGACCATTTTCTTTAACAGATTGGCACATATCGTCGCCGAATGCTGAGGTGATTCGTATACAGACTTTTAAATAATGGTTGTAAAACAAAAAAAGAATAGTTGTAGATTACTAGTTCTGCTACTTCTTGGTCATTTTCTTATGTTTATGGCAGAGCTTCAGTAAGAAAACATGCGGATATATTAGTAATTTTAAACTGTTTGTTGTAAAACTGGAGCGATGTATTCTGGGTAGGCTACAGGACACAGAACAGGAACTCTGTTCTTTACAAAATACGAGCGTGAATTTAAACTGTTCCGTGTTTCTTTCTTTACCATTATTTATTTATTTATTTATTTAATATTTGTTGCTGCAGTGTCCCTCGGAGAGAGGAGGTACAAACTGCACAGTTGTGTACGGTTCTGCAGATCAGAACTGCAGGTGGATTGTCACCCACTGAAGAAATTCAAATTGCTTTCTGTCGCAAAGAATTGTGGGAACACTACAGTCTGTACTAAGTGAAAACTGTCACCGAGAAGAGTCAGAAGTCAGAGTATAAAGCTCTGTGAACACAAAGCTGACTGAGGGGTTGCTGTTTCCTCACAGTGGAGAAACGTGTAAAGTAGAGACGTCCTGATGCATCTCATTAATCCAGGTAAAAGATCAAAAGGAAAAAAATTGTATAGGTCTTCTAGACGGGTTCTTCTCTAATGAAACGTTTCGTCTCTCCTCCAAGAGACTTCTTCAGTCTGAGAKTTTCAGGCAAAATTCAGGCTTTTAAGCCCTGCCTCCATGTGACTGATACTCACATCACATGGCTATCGTTGACACCTAATTAACACGTACTGTTAACAGGGGGTGGAGTAATACTGGCAATAGCAGCACTGTAGGAGGGGGACAACTGAAAACGGAGGCCTCCACCTCTGTTTAATGATGGACGGTCTTTCTTCACAAAAATGGCTTCTTTTACTCCTCTCTCAAACCAACGTTCCTCTCTATCAAGAATGAGAACATCCTCATCTCTGAAAGAGTGACCGCTGGCCTGTAAATGAGTGAAAACTGCAGAGTTTGGCCATTAGATGTAGCTCGTCTGTGTTGGGACATTCTTTTGAACAGTGGCTGCTTTGTTTCCCCGATGTATAACTGGTCGCAGTCCTCCTGGCACTTAACAGCATATACAATATTGCTCTGTTTGTGCCGGGGCAAAATAGAAAATTATTTTCTAAACATGATGTCCCAGTAGCTTTCAAACCCCAAAACACATTGCGGCAAAGGCTGGTTCACCCCAAAGATCCGGTGCCCCGGCACAAACAGAGCAATGTTGTATATGCTGTTAAGTGCCAGGAGGACTGCGACCAGTTATACATCGGGGAAACAAAGCAGCCACTGTTCAAAAGAATGTCCCAACACAGACGAGCTACATCTAATGGCCAGAACTCTGCAGTTTTCACTCATTTACAGGCCAGCGGTCACTCTTTCAGAGATGAGGATGTTCTCATTCTTGATAGAGAGGAACGTTGGTTTGAGAGAGGAGTAAAAGAAGCCATTTTTGTGAAGAAAGACCGTCCATCATTAAACAGAGGTGGAGGCCTCCGTTTTCAGTTGTCCCCCTCCTACAGTCCTGCTATTGCCAGTATTACTCCACCCCCTGTTAACAATAGGTGTTAATTAGGTGTCAACGATAGCCATGTGATGTGAGTATCAGTCACATGGAGACAGGGCTTAAAAGCCTGAATTTTGCCTGAAACTCTCAGACTGAAGAAGTCTCTTGGAGGAGAGACGAAACGTTTCATTAGAGAAGAACCCGTCCAGAAGACCTATACAATTTTTTTCTTTTTAAAGTAGAGACGGTTTTCCCCTTCAATGTTCAAGAAAATCATGACGAAGTTATATGAATTATGTGACTACAAGTAGACGGCTTTTTAGCTTTGCTGTAGATGAAACTGATGTCTGAATGTGAAACATTATTTGCAATTAGCGCTACTCAGTTCTAAAGTTAGAAAGTGCAATTCCGCACATCAATTTACGAAATTAGAAAAACCCCTAAAGCGCAAAGGAGAATTTTAGGTCCGCAATTAGCGGATTTGCGCTTTAGGGGACTAGTGCCCACCACTGCATCTATTAAAAACTTCTTATCCAGGTCATTTCAACTTTTGACAACCAATCTGTTTTTCACTCCCCAACAATCACATGGGCTTTGTTTTCCCAAAACTCTTATTTCCTGCCTGATAAAAACATATTTTAAAGCAACACATAACTGTTAGTCAACTTTTAAACTCTATGTATTTGGCAACATGGTAAGCAAATTTGGGAGTTCTCAGAGCTCCATCTAGTTTGTCAAGACCAAATATGGATTATTATGAACCTGCCCATCTGGCTACTCTTTCCTGACAGAAGGATAAGGAAAAATGACCTGGGGTTCGAAAAAGTAGTTATTACTTTATTTGAGCTGCACGTAATCCAGCAACCACTTCAGTAGCAATTTCTCCGATGGGTTTTTCTGTTTTTACAGCTTAAGGATGGCTTGTTTCATCTGCATTGAGAGCTCCTTTGACCACGTTTTCATCACAGCAAAATCTTCCAAATGCGAGCAGCACACCTCAGATCAACTCCAGGCCTTTTATCCGCTTCATTGAGAACGACATAATGAAGGAATTGCCTGTATCTGGCTATGAAAAAACCAATATAAATAGTCAATTGTCCCATTACTTTTGGTCCCTTTAAAAGCAGGGTGGCACCATGTTAAAGAGCCGAACTCCTAATTTCTCATCCAGTTTTAATGTGGATACCCTCAAAGAAAAGTGGAAAGTCTGGACTTTTTGTTCATGTCCATTATATAACTACAACTTCAATGTTTCAGTTAAATTAAAAAAACACCAGTCTCCAAATAAATAGCTCGTCTACAATTGAAACTATTTGGAGTCAGTTCTATTCAACATGGTTGGTCAGTTCTACACACCATACTCAGATTTACAGATATTGTGCTAAAATGTAGTGTTGTAGTAGCTGAGAGTCACAATAAGATAAACTCTGAGATGAAAGGAGGTGGGATATACATTCTTGTAATATTAGATCTTTGATCAACTGCTGACTTTCAGGGTTAACCTGTGACATGAAGGTTTAGACTGCTGAGTGTGAAATCTGGTTTTCTTACAGAACGAGACGAAAAAGGAAAGGAAAGAAACCCGGACAGCCTGCAACTGCAGTTAGTCAGACAGAGCCTCCAGGACGGATCAAAACCAGGATCAGAGGCCGACCAACGGACAGACCTCTCCCAAAGAGACCAGTGGGTTGGACTAACAGGGCCTTTGAACCCGATACCTGATACTGGTCTGTTTTATAATACTGGATACTTTGATATCTGGGTTTTAGGTTGTCTAATTATTTGTTTTATTCTGTAAAGTGCTGGAATCAAATTAATTACTTCATTAAAAAACACAATATGTATGTTAAATAATTTCTGTATAAAAACACACAATGTCTAAGATTGTACATCTAATTTTTAAATTCATTTTTTTGATTGCATTAAAAGTCAAAGCATTTTATATTTTCACAGTTGTACAAAACAGAAATTTTAGTTTAGACATATGTTTTAGAAGATGCCAAAAGCCATATTTATATTATAAATGCTTTCCATTTATTTGTAATTGTTTAAATATTTGTTGTCACACAGGTTTGAAATAAAGCATACAAACTATAAATCAAAACGTGCAGCTCAGTCAGAGAACTAGTTGTGGTGCTACATAACATAATGTGGACAAAATCTGCAATAAACCAAAAGTGGAAAAGAAATGATGGGACTTTGGTGAAACATGAAACGTGTTTGGAGCTCAGACTAGGTCGGAATCATTTAACATTTATATCGGTCAGAAAGTTGTCCATGACTGAACTGACATTTTAATATCTTATGTTTTTAAACCATTTTTGCAGTTTTTACCACAAACCCTTGAGCTTTCTCTTCTTACCTCCACAGTCTGGTTTTAGCTTCATCTAACAGCAGATTTCTGTTTTTACCTCTGAGAGGCTGATAGCTGTCTGACAAACAGCCCACACACAGTCTTCCATAGGTTTTATTCTATTTTAGCTCAAAATGTTTTATTTAAAGTTGGAAGTGAAGGTTCTGGTTAATATGTCATATCTGTAGAAAAAAAATTAATCGGTCTTCTGTTCTTTTCTGACTCAACAAGTATTTATTTGAGGTCTGTTTTTAGTTTATTTGTAGCTGTGTTTTCATCCAATTTTAATTCGAATTTTGAGCGAATTTTTTTAAATTTCGCAAAAACGAAAAAAAATAAAAAAAAACCCCGAAGAAATGCGAATCAGACGTGTTTCCATCAACTGGCTTGAAGTGAATCAATTACATTAGACACATGTATGTAGTAAACAGGAAGTAAAAGTTACAAACTCACAGGGACCACACATCTCAGCTTAATGGAGAGAAGTTATCAGGAACATGTTGCTACCGTCGGGAAAGTTGTACTTATTCCGTCATTTCAACTAGTTTTGGCAATTTTACATGCTGTTTGGAGACATAGAGGAGGAAATACAATTCTCTTCACTTTACTTGAAAAACTGAGAAGTCGCCGACAACAGGAGGAGGGTCCTGCTGCCAGCCGCGGCTGCAGTCGCTCTGGTACCGGTGTTGTATGAAATTCAGTTCCCCTGTGAAAATCTGTTCCCCCTGTGTTGGGTGCACCTCCCTCATATTAACCATTTAGGATTGGTTTGATTTTATACCTGGACCAGTGATTCTAAGGTTAAAGTGTATCTTGCCCCCACCCCCCGCATGAAAAGATAACTCCGCCCCAAGRCGAAATTTGAAAAATGCATCTAAGTGGGTAGGGGAGGGGGTTTGGGTAGGGGAGGGGGGTTAGAGAGCGGAGGTGTGGCCAGGACAAGAGAACGTGACAGCCGCGGCTGAACTGTCCGCCTCACACCACACCAGCCCTGGACAGAGGAGGTGGAGCGCTGCGCGACAGCCTGACAGAAAAAAATAAAAGCATACAGCTGCAGCTGCTCACAAGATCACTAGTTTAAATCAGGAATAAAAGTGTTGGGTCTTGTTTGACTGAAGTTCGGTCCTGTTCGGCTGTAGCTGCTCAGCTGTCTTT